AGTAGTCCATGTCCCACACATGTTTTTACCTGCATGTTCGGTAATTTCTTCCTAACTAGTACCTGTTGTGCTGCCGTCACCTGGTTCATATCTCAAGCCAACCTTTGGGGTGCTGCTGTAACCCGATCTGTATTTCAAGCCACAACCTTCCTAATTAGTCGCCCATTACGTACTCTTTGCTTTTGTAAGGTTTCCAACAACCCCAGTACCCACATTTGGAACCGTCTCCTTACCTGGATTCTCTATCGGTCCCTCTCTTACTTCTAGCCGGCAACCTGGATGGGTCAGTCTGTCCAGGCTTTAGGTGCCTGAAGGACGCCCTCCTCTTGGTCCATACTTTCAGAGCATATGCCCTTTTCCTCCGATGCGACAACCCAGTGGTTCAGCTGGTATGTCCTCCGCCATAGAACCTGGTCGCTCAGTTATTTGATCTCGGGCCCCAGTTCGAATTCAGCCTTCCTGTGATACTGTTGAAGATCATTGCTACATCCCAACTCGGGACTTGCCAAACAGGTTTTCAGTTATTCTGGTTCCTCGGATTTATTGTGCCAAAGCTCCTATTACTAGATGGTGTGACCAAGATTACAGATTAAATCCAACCGATAATCATTAAAGACAAAATTTTTATATAGATAAAAACATATAAAATTTAAAAAAAGTTAAAAAAAATTTTATAGTAAAAAGTTTTAAATAAAAACTTTAAAGTTTTATTGTTTAAAAATTTTTTAATAATTTTAAAAAAATTTTTTTAAGAAAGATTATAAATTATGTTTTTAAAAAAAATATTTTATAATAAAAATATATTCTATATTCTTAATAAATTTTTAGTTTATTTAAAAAATTGTAAATACTTTTTAATTTTTTAGACAAATTTGCTTAGAATATAATTTAAGAGATAATATTTTGTAGCAATTTTTTAATATTATTATTTATTATAAATATAAAATTAGATTATAGTTAATTTTTCAAAATATGTTTCTGAAATATCTTTTTACTAAAATTATAATACTGTTAAAAACATGTTATTAAAAAATATATATATAAAATAAAGTTATTGAAACACCCTATTTATTATGAATTCTACTTTTTATCATTGTTTTCAAGGCAAATAAAAATCTTTTTAAGGTCTGCTAGATCTGTGAAAAAAACAGTAAAGTTTTTTAATAATTTAGTTTACAGTTAATTTTATTATGAGGGGTTTTACTTCAAGTTGAACCAAGAGAGGTGGGTACTATAGTACAAGTGAATTCTTCCTGGTTATTATTTCAATATATTGAATAGTTGCCTCACTAAATCAGGCCTTCTGAGATTAACATGCTCTATATGTATTAAAAGTTTGTAAGTCTGAACTTCCAAATCATGGGATTTCTACTTGGTGACTTAGTATATTAGATTGCCATAGTTGTGATTTTTTCTGGATTACTAAGATATATATAGGTATATTTTTTTATTGCTATAACATTTTGTTAACAATTTTTTTATATTATTATTTATTACAGATATAAAATTAGATTACAGTTAACTTCCCCAAATACATTTTCCTGAAATACTTTTCACCGAAGTCAAGTCATAATACTGTCAAAAACGTGCTATCAGAAGAAGACCTGTCGAAACAGATAATGCCAAGTATATTTTCTGATAATCTAATTTATTGACAAGATGTAAATTTGGTATCTTATTTTCGCGAAATATTATTTAATTGATAACAAAATTTTCAACAAGTTATTAATTTGAAACCATTTCACCGAACTTAAAAATGATAGACTAGTATTATAATTATTATGAAAAAATAATTTGAATACAATAATTACACTGAAAGAATTCCGATCAACGTGCTAACTTTTAAAATTATAGATGTCCCTCGTTTAATATACATGACCTTTGTGAAATAACACGATACGATCTTGAGCAAGATAAAAATTGAATCTTATTCAATTTATTCCTCGTTAGCCAAACATGATGAACATGATGAAATACCGCAGCTACAACGATAAAAAAAAAAGAACGTAAACATATACTTTATGTGGTTATTTCAAGAACTAGACGTGAGTGCGAAAAGTATTTCGAAATTTACGATTCAGAAGTTAATGTTTATATGGCTTGTAAATATTTAAAGTTGTAACGGTGAAATAAATCTTAACACATTATAATTAATAAAGTTTTTTTGTACTGTTTTTACAAATTTTTACATGAATAAAAACCTAAAACGTTGAAGACCTAGTTTATTGACAAAAATAAATATAACGTAGTAATGATAAAAATTTTAAAATGCCCAAAATTTAATTCGTATATTTTAAATCTGAGGCCACATAACATATAAATTTTAAAGTGACCCGAACTATTTTTAGGTCATACAAAATTGATTGTTTCTCATAATCCGCCTGGATCAGCTTTGAAAAAAATTTTATGTTTTTAATATTTTTCTAGATAAAAAAAACATATAAAAGTTTTGTAATTAAAAATTAAAAGCCTAACTTTAACCAATCATTTATAAAAAAGTTGATTTTATTTGATGCAAGTGAGTAATCGGTTCTTGTCCTCGTAATATGAATTGTTCTATTAACGATTCTAACCGATCAATAATACCTTCAAAAATTACTGATTCACAGAAAAAATCTTATTCCCCAATGATGTTTTTGTATTATTATTAATTTTTTTTTAATGTACGTACGTATGTGCTTACATATTGTACGCACGTACGATCATCAGGCCAATATTTTTGGAATTTGTGTATACATTCAAAGTTTGTAAAGTTATAAATCTGTAAATCCCTTTAAACATCCGTACATCTGATGAACAATAAAAGTTTTTACAATACCTTCAATGGATATCACCTTTGAAAGTGTTAGGCAATGGAAAGTTGATCAAGTTTCTAATTGGTTACAAGAAAATAATTTTATGGAATATCAAAAGCTCTTTGCTGGTATTAATTTCTTTAATACAAAATTTTATTTATTTTTGTTAATTAAATTAAAGTTTGAGTACTAAATTATGTTTATTTTTTTATTTTTTTATTAGAAAATGATATTAATGGAGATGTACTTTTAGAACTTGATCATGAAATTTTAAAAGAATTAAAAATAAGGTCTATTGGTGATCGACTCAGACTCTTGAATGCTGTAAGGTCCTTACTGAAAATTTGTGCCGGAAATAATCTACCTTATCATTCCATAATTAAATATGCTAAGGTTTGTTTCTTAATTTTTATTTATTCCTCATATATGGTTCACCATATTATTTGATTTATAATCCTTTTTATATATTCTTTAGGAACCAAATTCACCTGAAACTGACAAGTTTCCAATTTCTCTCTCGAGATCTAATTCAAATGCTCGCGCGCGCACAAGATCAAATTCTACTAATCGTGGATATTCACCAAGTTTATCTTCCATAAATGCTATAAAATTTATTTTATAAATAATACAATAATAAGAATTTTTAAATTAAATTATATTGTTAATTTGGCAACAAGAAATTCCTGTAATTCCTATTGAGTGTATCAAACAGGTAATTTTATTTATTTATTTATTTATTTATTTTTTTAGAAAAAAAAAAAATAGTTTATAATTAATAATTGTATAAAATTCAAATAATAATTTCTAATGATAATTTCTTTTACTTATTCTAGAGTACCATTAAAGTTTATGGTGAAGAAGGTCAAACACGAACTATTTCACTAAATAATATCGTTGACGCAGAGTCGATTTTAAGACGTATTTTACAAAAATTTAATATCTATGAAGACGTTGAAAATTATTCATTATTTGCCACACTGAGTGATACTGGTGAAAGTATGTTTTTGTAATTTATTCAATTTAGATTATTAATATTTAGTTAAAAAATGTCATTAAATTAACTTTACAGCACGAAGTTTAATTGATGAAGAAATAATTGAAATATGTAAAAGTTCCGATAGACCAGAACGTGAAAGGCTCATTTTACGAAAGAAACATCTTCTAAAAGTGAGTTATGATCATTCAAAAAAACAAAAAAAAGATTTGGAAAAATTTTTTGGTGAAAAACCACCAAGTAATCCACAAGTTGGAGTCTCTAAAAAAAAATTAAGAGATTTCTTTGGTCAACGTCCTCCTTCCGAATTAATTCAATTAAATTTGACGGAATACTTTCCTGGACATAATAGCGAAGAACTTGAACGCAGTGTTGCTAGAAGTTCCATTTATAGAAATTCCATTTATAGAAGAGCATCAAGAGTTTCTTCAGACTCTAAACTTTCAATACAAAAATCAAAGCGTACATCTAAAGTAGATGATGATTATAATAGTGTTAGATCAAAACGTTTATCTAAATTAGAAGATGATTATAATAGTATTAGATCAAAACGCACATCTGAATTATCTGAATTAGACGATGATTATAATAGTATTAGATCAAAACGTATATCTAAATTAGACGATGATTATAACAATGATGGATCAAAACGCACATCTCAATTATCTGAATTAGACGATGATTATAATAGTATTAGATCAAAACGTATATCTAAATTAGATGATGATTATAACAATGATGAATCAAAACGCACATCTGAATTAGACGGACGATGATTATGATAGTGATAGATTAAATACTGTTACTACTTCTAATCATAATATTGATAGATTAAGTATATTAATGGAACCTTCAATAAGTTCCGATACAACCATTCAAGAACAACAGGAGGAAAATTCCGATACAACCATTCAAAGAACAACAAGAGGAAGATGGTGATTACTTTCAAGATTTTGATTATGAGGACGAAGATGATTTGGTATCTGATCCAGAAATAATAGATGGTAAGTGAATAAATAATATTCATTCCATTGTATTTAGTAACACAAATAATTTATATTTATGATTTTTTTTTTGTAGTTGAACTTTGTTCAAAGATTAAGTGGATAAAAGGCAACTTTATAGGCATGGGTTCTTTTGGTAGTGTATATCTTGGACTTAATTCTTTTACTGGAGAATTAATGGCTGTTAAGCAAGTGGAATTACCTACCGAAAATTCCTCAAATAATGAACGTAAAAAATCAATGGTTAGTATAATAGTTTCCTTTATTTAATAACGGATTGTTTATACATAATTATTCTATTATTATGATCATTTTTACAGTTGGATGCTCTACAAAGAGAAATTACGCTTTTAGAAGAGTTGCAGCATGAAAATATTGTACAATATCTCGGTAAAAAATAATTATTTCTATTCAATCCACTCTATTTGTAAAGAAAGTATGATTGCACAACATTTTCACATTTTCCATAGGTTCACAATATGAAGAAGGAACATTTAATATTTTCTTGGAATATGTACCTGGCGGATCAGTAGCCACAATGCTTAATAATTATGGCCCATTAGAAGAGCAATTGATTCAATCATTTGTTAGGCAAATTTTACAAGGACTAAATTATTTGCACGAAAAAGATATTATACATAGAGATATTAAAGGCGCTAATGTTTTGGGTAAATTTTATCTTTGCTTTTTCTTAATAAGATTTTTTATATTGTAAAAATTAATGACCATCAGTAAATTAACTTGTCTATGGAATCTAATAAAAGTGGATAATAAAGGAATAATCAAAATATCGGATTTTGGAATTTCGAAAAAAGTTGAAGATCGTATGTTATTATTATTATTATTATTATTTGTTATTATTATTATTATTTGTTATTATTATTATTTATTATTATTATTATTATTATTATTATTATTATTATTATTATTATTATTATTATTTATTATTATTTATTATTATTATTATTATTATTATTATTATTATTATTATTATTATTATTATTATTATTATTATTAT